CCTGCCAATAATGTGAGGTAACTGAATATACCATGGATTTACAAGCTCTGCATCATTAAAATTTTACAGCTGGTCAGGCTACGTCTCCGTATGTCACTTCATTAATTCTGCAGTTCACTCAGAGGGCTTGGCTGGAGACGAAAAATGCCAGCAGAAGATGGATGTTGGATAGAGAAAAAAAAATTGCTGAAAAAAAAGTGCTCAATATAGGCAACTTGCCCTGGTGTGGTAAACATGCTCCATTTAAGAGCAGGTCCCCAAAGCCTTGGTCATTCAGACCAACCTCCTTATGCCGAATACGGTCAGCGATGGTTTTCTAAGAAAAAGTATATATGGAGGTCAGAGGAGCAAGGCTGCAAAGCCAAGCGAGTCGTCACAAGCCAATATCGCCACTAATGGGATAGGCTAGGGTGAGTGGAAAAGGGCAGGAGATTGACAGGAAAAGAGAGTGATGCACGGTTTAATAAAATCTGGACTCATCTGAACACCAATGGAAGACTTCCTGTCACTTACAATTGGACAGATCAGACCAAGACTTTTGGAGCAAGCAGAAAGTTTAGATTAAATTCATTGTCAGAGAACAACACAGAATGCGGTGAGGATACTTTTCAAATTGTCACTGAAAAGTACAGTAATGACATGCGATCATTGTAAATACTCTAGATATTTTTATCAGCCAGTGAGATGTCTGAACTATGTATTAGTGTTTTTAAAAACTGAACTATAAAAATATACCAATCTGCATGTATGCAGCAGACCAAAAAAGTGCAAGACAAATATAATGCATCCTTTAAGGTAACTTAAAAATATTCAATAAATATGCATGCTAATTTTCTTTTGCCTAATATTTAACAGTGACAGCCTTGCTGAAAACTGTACTTTTAAACTACACTGGCTAAAAATTAAAGCTAAAACAAAAATTGGTAACACTTTAGTGTAGGGACCAATTCTAACTATTAATTAGCTGCTTATTAGCATGCCTATTGATAACTTCTTAGCTGTTTATTAGTACATATAAAGCATGTATTCTGCATGTCCATATTCTACAACCTAATCCTACCCAATTCCTAAAGTTAACAACTACCTTACTAACTATTAATAAGCAGCAAATTAGTAGTTTTTTGAGGCAAAAGTCATAGTTAATGATGTGGTAATAGCGAGAACTGGGTTAGGGTTAGAAATAAAGTGTGACCCAAAAATTAAACTATTTGACCTCACTAAACAACTATTCATTTAGATGGAAGACTAGTAGTAGAGTATCCTGACCTGTCATTAATCAAGATAAACTAACATAAATGGACTCTGGCTAAACTAAATAGTAAGAATTACTGGTAACACTTTAGTTTAGGGACCCACCTATTCTCACTATTAACTAGTTGCTTATTTGCATGCATATTACTAGCATATTGGACTAGCACTATTAAAGCACATATTAATTCTTTATTCTGCATGACCATATTTTAGATCCCTTAATCCTAGTCATACCTAAGCTTAACAACTACCTTGTCAAGATATTAAGAGTTTATTGAGGCAAAAATCACACTTAATAGTTTGTTTATACTGAGAATTGGTCCCCAAACTAAAGTGTGACCGAATTACTAGTTTAGCTGTGCACACCAGTAGTTGCTTGTTGAGTTGGCGAAAAATGTAGCACGATCACATGCAATCTCTGCATCATCTGACCACAGCAGTACTACAAAAAAAGTAGGGCTTAGACTGTGAATAAAATAAATGAGTCCACTGCTCAGGTGATCTTGTTATTTTACAAACCAGAAGAGGAACTGTGTTGTACAATGTTGGCTGCTTTGTGAAGCCCTCATGGTGAAGCTCAGTGGTGCTCCATCACTAGTTTCTAACCAGAGCCAGAGACAGTCTCAGTCGTCCCTTCATCCCCATAGCAACCGACCAATCAGCCAATTACAGGCTGAGCTGAGGACTTACCCATTCATCACAAAGTTCTAACCATCACAGGGCATACAAATGAGGCCCCAAAATACAAAAAGCAAATACGCAGAAGTTCAAGATTACATCGCAATTGATCTACTTCTGAGACTCTACCTGAAAAGGTATAGAAGTGGTTCAGATGACATGCAGAGGTTGCTAAGGATGACTTGAATTCTCTGTGACCGTGAGTATCAGGCAGGAGGGAGGTTAATGATGAATGAGCAATTACTCAAACATCTGCTGCCACCCTGTTTGTTTTCCTAGCACTGCCAAAAAAATAAGATCCCACAGGCGACTGCCTCCTCCCTCACCCACCCTACTGCCACCAGCCCACTCCCATTTGGCTCAGCCCGGAGTCTCCCAGCTGCTCTACCTGCCTCTGGACAGTCCTATGGGCCCCAGAACGAGGAAGGAGGGAATCCAAGAATACGTCTCATGAGTGCACACAGCGAGCAGGTCTTTGGCTTAGCAAAGGTACTTCATTACTGAAACAGAATCGGAAGCAAGTGGCAGCCGTTCAACTAAAAGTGAAGAGTGAGGCAGAATCTGTGGTTCTTGCTAACGCTAGGACGGATTGGATTCACTCCTAAGATTAGCCTGCATTGATCTGCCTTATCTCCCTGTCTGATGTGCCATTTAGACTGAGCTCCCGTTCCTTCCCTGTGTTGAGCCGAGGGCCTTGGGTTCGGTCTAATGCCATTGATTTCTCCTGTTTCAGGGTCTAAAAGTGCCATGGCCACTTAGACAGACAAGCAAAGGAACTACAAAATGGTAAGTGATTGCTTGTCAATAAAGATGGATTGTTAGGTCATGGAAAAAATATCAAAACGTTAATTATATTTATAAATAAAACTGTATATATTATATACACTATTATACAGTATTATATAAATATAATTGACATTTTTATTTTATTTAATTATATTATTATTTATATTTTATATTATTTTTATATTATTGTTATTATTTATATTTATATTATTTTTTTAATACTTTATAATAAAGTTGCATTTATTAGTTCATACATTAGATATCATTTAGGTATCATGAACTAGCAATACAATTATTTTATATAATATATTAATGCATGTTAATTCATGCTTGTTCATAATACAGTGACTAATGTTAATTCACAAAACTTGTAATTTTAAGAAATGCTGTAAAAGTATTGATAAATGGAAGTTCATGATACCTAATTGATACCAATTTAACCTTACTGAACCAAGTGTTTCATATAATTCTGTTAATTAATTGGCATATTGTGTTTTTAATCTGAATAAAAACACAATATGCCAATTAATTAACAGAATTAATTGCAATTAATAGCATAGAAAAGCCCCCAAAATATATTTAAAATATATTACATGTAAATTACATTAATGGCAGATGAAAACATTAAATAAATAAAAATCAAAATTATATATATATAAATTGGAAATTGGAAATAAATGGAGAATGAGCTATTTTATATAGTATGGGGGTTGGGCAAATTTCAAAACAAGTAGTATTTAAATAAATCCAAAGACACAAATCCCTGAGGTAAAAGTGAAAGTGTGAAGTGCCTTCATGTCTGGCTCTGTGCTAGGCATGTCTGAACTTCCTTTTCGGATTCTATATACTGGGATTGAAAGACCCCACTGTCTCCCACCGGGATCATTTCACAGTCCAATCAAATGTGCATTCAACTTCCTCTTTTTCACCATTGACCACCAACACCCCACCGACTGGGAGAAAGCCAGATATCTGCATGCATCTGTATTTGCATGGAAAGCACTTCCATCGAGCAGGTGGTAACAAGCAGGGAGAACCGAATCAAAAGAGAGGGTGAATACCTCCACAAGCCTCTCACCAAGAAGTAATCAGTGAGCAGCTCCTTTTCCACATTCAGATGTATTTGTTGATACGCTAGAGAGTGCTTGAAATCAAGCTGTCTTAAGAGTCTCTCTAAAACTAGGTCTGTCACTTCTTAAAAAGAGAGAGACACTTAGGGATATTTTTGGAACATGATGAACATGATCCGTTTACATTGATTTTACATGGAGCGTGCAAGACAAATGAATTTACAACAAAACATCTGATATAAATACAGAGGACATACATACAGGACATTATAAAACATAACGTTTACATATATTAAGCAAGCTCGAGTTGAGTGGCATTTTGATTGTAACTGCTGGTGATGCTGTTCTCTTTTTGATTGCAATATTTCTCCAGCTTTAAATGGTGTATTTTATAATGTGAAGAGAAGGGAGAACATGACCGGAAGCAGCAGATTGCAGGGGCTGCTGGTGAAAAGTATGCCCTGAAACAGAACCCATTTAAGCTACCACTGGCCAACAGATCTGGCTGGATGAAAATCTATAAACATCTGGACATAAAGCTATAGGGGACCAGGGCACTCTTGGGTAATTTTGCTGTTAGCATTACTAGCTTTGACGAAGAGGAAAAAAAAGTTATTTCCCCTGAAAGAGCCTGGTGCTCAATGCAGCTTATTCTGGCTAAGAACTGCCCACTTAGGAAGAGACCACCTAACCAAAATATCAAGTGACCAATTGTGTATGTATATATATACAGTGGTGTGAAAAAGTGTTGGCCCCCTTCCTGATTTCTTATTTTTTTGCATGTTTGTCACACTTTAATGTTTCAGATCATCAAACAAATTTAAATATTAGTCACATTAAACACAAGTAAACACAACATGCCCATTACGTCTGGCGTAAAAGTAACACTGCATTTCAGAGAAAGAACATCATACCAACAGTAAAATATGGTGGTAGTGTGATGGTCTGGGGCTGTTTTGCTGCTTCCGGACCTGGAAGACTTGCTGTGATAAATGGAACCATGAATTCTGCTGTTTACCAAAAAATCCTGAAGGAGAATGTCCGGCCATCTGTTCGTGACCTC